GGGAAAGGTAGAAGAAAGAAGAAAATCACAACAGTACCTTTCCTCCATGTATCTGACGAATAGTACATGTTGCCAAAGACTTGGTTCCAAAAATCCAAAGCAGGGCAGCAAGTGCTACATGACAAAAGTGTGGCAGCTGGGGAGAGAGTGTGATGAAACACCTCCCGGAGATGTAATTTAGCCCAGGGTAGTTATCAAGTGCTGAGGGTTAAAGGGGCAAATTGTAGTGCTTATGCTTCTCCTGTCGACATATCAGTTAGCCACACAGGACAAAAAGAAGACAGGGCCCACAGACAGAGAATACTTGATACTAGAGTTAATTGAAATGATGGTAGGAAAGTCTCATGGGTTTCGAAATTGAAAGCAAAAATGTTCTACTGGCAATAACAATCTCTGGAAATATTTCTTAGTTATTTGGTTGAAAATATAGTAGTTTCTTTGAGATGCAAAGGTCTATGTGGAACACACGTTAGATACTTAAACAGTGTCTGGAAGGAAATGAGAGCCACAAATCTCCAAGAGGAGCTTGGTATTAGTTTGCGGCAGAAACTGAAGCAACAAAATAATTCATGTAAAACTTGGCAACCCTAGAGAGTGAAGAAAACAAATGTAATTGTGACTGGGCCACTGGCATCCAGAGAGACCACCGGGCCTGTTTTTACCCAAGAAAAAGGGTTATTATAACCATCCCTTGCAATATCAGAATTCAAACGACTCTAGTACGTTTGGCAGCAAAATGATATGACTGCCCTAATGTGTTATAATATTATCCCTAGAGATACTCAGGAAGGCTAAGGGAACTAACCCTTATTGAGAACCTGCTATGTGCTTTACATGTGTGATTTCATAACATCCTCATAATCCTCTGAGGGAGGTGATCCTATCCCCATTTTATAGATGAGCAAAATGAGGTCCAAAGAAGTATTTCACACACATCACATAGTTAACAAAAAGCCAGAGCTCCACAGACAAAATTGAAAAGCTCCATACTTGATTAAAACAAATTGCTCAACAAAGACAGCTTGGAAGGGATCAGAGTACAGGGCTTTTATGTTCTGAATAAGAGGAAAGGACTGTTCTATCTTTCCACTGCTGGAATCCTCTTATCAGCCATTTCTGGATATATCTTAGGTTTCAGGTGTATTTCATACTTGACAGTGGTACCTTTGGCTAAGTTGGAGGGTTGAGAAGACTTGGCACTTTTCAGGCAGTGTTATGTAATAGAATCGAGCCCTGGGCTGGGACTTGGAAACCTGGGTTCAGTTCCAGTTGTGTCTCTTATTAACTATGAGAGTGGGTAAGTTACATTGCTTCTCTGGGTGGCAGTTTGTTTCACCTCTGTGAGGTTGGATTAAGTATCCTTAAGTGCCTTTCTGGGTCCATGATTCAACCCTCCATGACCTAACTGTTTAAGATTGTGACTTCCATCAAAATATACTAGAAACCACCTGAGAGTTAACACATTTGTCCAGGCAAGGATGCTATCTGGTTCAAGATACATAAAACAAACAAACAAAAAACCCACAGGAATAATTATTCAACTCCTATACTCCATCTGCAAGAGTAACCCGGAATGAAATGGTATAAAGCGTTTTTTTTTCCCCTAGGAGTTCATTTAAAAAGAATATATATGGGCCGGCCCCGTGGCTTAGCGGTTAAGTGCGCGTGCTCCGCTACTGGCGGGCCGGGTTCCGATCCTGGGCGCGCACTGACACACTGCTTCTCCGGCCAAGCTGAGGCCGCGTCCCACATACAGCAACTAGAAGGATGTGCAACTATGACATACAACTATCTACTGGGGCTTTGGGGAAAAAAAAGGAGGAGGATTGGCAATAGATGTTAGCTCAGAGCCAGTCTTCCTCAGCAAAAAGAGGAGGATTAGCATGGATGTTAGTGCAGGGCTGATCTTCTTCACAAAACAAACAAACAAAACAAAACAAAACAAAAGAATATATACTCAAGTTCTTAGACAGACCTGGGTGCAAATCCAAGCTCTACCTCCTATTGGCTCTTTGAGTTAACATATCTGAGTTCCATTTTTTGCTTCTGTAAAATTGGAATTAATAATGAATGAGCTGTAATGCAGTAAAGCGTCTGGCATCTAGTAGGAGCATAATAAGTGCTGGTTATTGTTATTCCACTGGTCATTAGGGGTTTGGACTATGGTTGGCTAACAAGTCAAAGGAAATTTCTCCACAGAGGGATTGAGCCTGAGATGGTAACCTCATGGGGAACTTGCCATTAACCTGTGTCTATGCAACAAATAACCTCAGGTACAGAGTGGAGAAATGTAATTGCTTCTTCTGGACTTATTGGCATTTCTTTCTTTGTAAAACTTTCTAATTCACCTCTCAGTGGATAAAACCTTATCAGAGACATGCTGATGTACTTGACGGGATAGCAGGAGGGAGTATTTGAAGACAGGAGTGTCCTGGGACATCTGGAACGAGTGGCAGTCATACCTACATTTCATTCAGTGTCTTTATTTGCCCATTTCCCAATTTCAAAAGATGCCAGGAAGAGGAGGAGGTGACTTCACTTTGTTTATAAACTAAAAAACCAAACAATTCTGATGCTGACATATGAGTAACTAATCTATACAGATCCCATCCATTTGAGTGACTGCTTCCTGCCCTCCCCGCCAAAGCTTTCCCTTTCCCCCTCCTCTTCCCCACCACTCACACACTCTCCCACCTTCTACCCCTTTCTAAACACACACCACTTTTGGGGACTTATTTTTCCTTCCGTCTCCAAGTTTTGTTTTGGTGTTGCGAGGTTAGTGGGAAGCCTGGGTGGAGAAAAGATGAACACAAATCACCCATACTCTTTAAACCCCATCACGTGAAGCCAGAGTGAGGTCTTCAAATAATACGATTGAACTGCCTGTTTTCTAAAAGGAAGACCAATAGAAAGATTAAAAAAAAAATTCCTCTGTTTTCTACAGTTATATTTCCTGAGCAAAAACACAGTAAAATTAAAAATGTTTCCAGCCCTGTTTTTAGATAAGTCAAGCATATTGCCAAAGCCTTCTGAAGTTCAAAAAAGCAAATGATTGCTAATTAAATTATTGTTAGAGATACCATGCTAATTCTAAGGTTTCTTTTGGCAATAACATTATATGATTCAGAGTATAATTTTACTCTTTAAGTAATTATAGGTTTATAGTTGCTATATTGATATTTTTATGACATACCACTGTCACAGCTAACCAAATATCAGCTGATGGTGAGGTCTTGACCTCTAATGAGATCTTCCCAGTATTATGTTGCTCTTTTGATCTATTATATAATGATACACTATATAACAACCTTTACAGGACAAAAGTTGTTATACGACAGATTATAACAATTCTGTTAAATGCTTAAAAGTATCCTTGAACTAATTAAGCTTTTAGGATTATTAGCTTGAGTATGGGGTATCAGTACATTAAAAAAAGATGATATATTAAGGTTTTCTTTAATAATTTGTTCCCCATTTCACTTTTCATTACGCCTTTATATAATACTCCCTAAGAAGGATTAACAACGGTTACAAATTATTCTACAAAATGTAGGTGGGGAATATGGAAGAGGGGGAAGAGAAGGCTGTTAACCCACGCAAAAACCAAAAACATCTTGCTTAATTTTTAAATACTGGCCATTTTCAGGACTTTGGTTGGGATTTATCTATTATGTTTCCAAATCTATTTACATGGCACATTTCCGACAAACTGAGGTTCCAGAAGGAATCCAGTACTTTTAAGCGTGCTATATTGTAATGCTTTCTCAAAAATGCCGTGCAGATTCAAGCAGCTCATGATTTTGTTACAAAGCTTTTGAAGCAATAACGCCTTTGAGTTTGAGATACTGTAATTTAGTGGTTCTAGATGAGTGCATAATCTCTCCCTGTTGGGTTGAAATTCTACATTCTGTCTTTCCCCAAACTCTCACCCATTTATCATCTATACAGACAAAATGTGTGCTTGGAAATTTTTTTTCCACTCATACATGGAATTGCAAAGTAATCTCACAGAATGGAAAATACTGAACTTCTCATAAATTTACCATTGACCCCCAATTCAACATGATCTTGATTTATTCTCTAATTTTTCCTACATGAATGTTTAATATCATGCCTTTTAAATCTGTTTCTAAGAGCCTTAAGAGCAAAGGCCCATGATAAAACTTTTCTTAAATCTTTGACAGTGCCGTGCCAAAAAGTACACATGAATACTTATTATTTCGCTGTTTTACTTAAGACAATGGAATTTATTCGTTTGCAACAGCTGGGCCATTGAATGTTATTATATGAGCTGTAATTACCAAGTTATCTTAGGCAAGTCACTTAACCTTTCTTGGCCCCAGTTTCCCTATTGGAGAAGACTTTTTTCAACTAGAGAGTTTAGGTTTTAGAGTAAGACAGAAGTTTTTTTTACATCCTATTTCTTCTATTTACTGTAAGTAGGAATTGAACCTATTATCTAAACTCTCTAAACTTCCAATTCCTCACCTGTCATTTGGGGATCAAGAGAGCGGTTTCACCCCACAGGGATCTTTTTGCTGCAGAAGGAGAACATAAATGTAAAGAATGCAGCACATTACCTGAACTTTGGTTCATGCTCAAAGATGTCAACTATTATTATATCAACTTTCTTCCAGCTCTAGAGTGCTAAGATTAGGATAGAGGTAAGGTTTTAATTATCAAGCACCCAAATCCCCAGTAGCCTTAGCTGTTTTGGCACCACTTGGATTCCCAAAGTAAAAAAAAAACTCTTATAAAGGACAAACTGATTCAAGGACGATTTTAGTACCACTTTACTCACATAGTAAATAGAATAATTTTAATAATCATTGAACTTGAAATATCAATATAGAAATTATCATTCATAATTGAGTCCATAAAAAATGACAGACAAATTGTTTTAAGACAAATGACTAAGAAACCTGTTCTGAAATGCATGCTCAGAATTAGACACAGGATATCATCAATCTATGGTCATGGGTTTGCACAAAGACACTGACCTGGCTTGCTGGAAGTGAAGAACAGAACACCCTGCTCACAGCTGGACTTACCTACACAAAAGAGAGAAATACTTTATAAATCCTACTGTTTGCCAGGAGCACATGGGGAGCCACTAAAATTTTCAACATACATTGTTTTCTTTTTCTCCCCCAAAAGGGCAGAATCTGCCTTACTCTTTTGCTAAGTGGCAGTCTTAAAATGGCATTTCTTTGGGTCAAATACATCCTGAAATAGCTAGGCTAACATTTTGTAGCATTTCTGAAAATATATTTCCGAGCATTTGTGGATCATACGAAAAAAGCTTTTGGCCCCAAACCCATGAACAGGAACAAGGAAAACCTTACAGGCATTTTACAATACATAAGTCATAGAAGTAAACATGCTATTCCTCCAAAATAGCATTTTTAGACAATATTATCATAAGTCCAAATAATTCTGTTTTTTCCTATTATATTTATATAGGTAATAAGTTATGTTGTTGAGCCAATGACATCAAAGTACCTGTGTTTCTATTTCCACCTCTACAATCACACATAGCCAGCCCTATGTATTTAAATTTACACTACCTTCAAAATTTGGGAAAATAACAATCAATGGACAAGTTTAGAAAAATACTGACCATGATTTTATTGCTTCCTAATGATTTTTCAAAGTCTTCCACACTGGGATGAACTAGTTAAATCCCTTTCCCACTAATATGTCCAAATATGATCCAGGAATCTCAGAGGAAACCTTGTTTAATAATAATTTACTGCCCACTCCACCTGCAGAGCAGTATGCAGACATTATTTATACTGAAAAGTTTCGTATTTATTTTCTAGCAACCAGTGACTCTCAGGTGTCTACAAAGTTATTGGAAACGAAATATAATTCCAAATTTCCAACGAGTGTTTGTAAACAAACTTAACAGTGTATGTTTAGAAAAGCCTAGAGCTTGCCAAGATCAAACAAACACAGCCTTTTGACTATTTATATCTGTTGATAGTGAGAGGACCTTACACAAAGACGAAAACTACTGATAACAGTATTTTTGCAGTTTAGAGAGGATACACAGTACAGAGTAGAATGTGCAGCACAGCCCGGGTTGGGGGTGGGGGAGCCCCAAACTAGTGAAACCTCAAGCTGAGCATCTGGCTGGGGTCCAACAGAGCCGCGTGAACAGCATAGGTTAGGGGAAGTTCAAAGTCAAGGCCACTCTTCTGGTCTTAACTTCCTAGATGTTCCTAGGTCTGGATGCCTTTGTGTATATATCAACCTTCACGCATCCCCCCTACCCCCCCCAGCAAATGTGTACAGTCAGCAGGAAAGGCACAGCTTGTGTGCTGACGTGCAAAGCCAAGTCAAAACCCTGCGCTCGGCGCTCCCTTCTAACTTGCTGGCTTGTCCAAGTCTAAATATTGACATTGCTCCTCAGTTAAGATGTTTGATACTGCTGAGGATAGAAACGGCGCAGCTAACAGTAGGATCTAATAATATATTTTTACATACTTGTGCCTTCTTTCCACTTCTTTTTTTGCGGGGAGGGGGTTCGATTTCCTAGTCTGCACATCTCCTGCCCACCCCCCACCCCATTGTTCTCCCGGAAAGCTGAGCACACAGACACAAAGTAAGGTGTTTTGCTAGCTCCTCATGGCAGCTCCTACTGTTGTCACAGCAACTCACAACAGACTCCATAGACACGGGGTTGGGGGCGGGGAGCGTCAAACTGTGGGCTGACCAGTCAACTCTCATAGGGATGCAAGCGCCCAAGGGGCTAGTGTATCCCCCTTTTCAGGTCCTCCTCCCCACCACTGTCCTTCGAAGAAAAAGAGCCCTCTTTTCGGCGCGGCACCAACCCCTCCCTGGCGCAGCCAGCCTGCTAAGGGTGCCTGTTGTACATTTTCTCAGTTCCAAGTTAGGGGTGCGGCTGTGCAGGCGCTCCTAGATATCTCTTCTGCTTGCCTCTGATATGGGGGTTCCCGGTCTCGCAGAGAGGCGAGGGCGGCTCCCAGAGCAGCTCGCTCCCACAACTCTCTCTCGGGACGCTGCTGGCCGCGTAGCGCGGCCCGGGGCCCCCACAAGCCACCCGCTGGGGCCGGGGCGGTGGGGGCTCCGGGGCGGCTGCTGGAGAAGTTTCATACCATAGCGCACTCACGACACAGAACCTACCCTGAAGCCGAGCGAGACGCGAGCTCTCTCCGCCTTCAAGGGCTGGGGGAGCGGGGGGGCCCCCGCCACTCAGCAGCAGCCACGACTGCGCGCGGTCGCGGGTGTGCGGGGTCCCTGCGCGCGGCGTGCCGCCCGCCGCCCAACTTTGCACAAAGGCAGCATGGCACTGCCTCGCCTGGCGGGCTCGCCCAGCGCCGCGGCCGCTCTTCCCCGTCCGGGGCGAGAGGGGCTCGCCCTTTTCCACCCCCCAGCCCTCCCCTTCTCCTCTTGCCCCCACCCGCCTCCCAGGCGGGCCAGCCGGGCGGAACAGAGCGCCAGGCACCGAGCTCCGCCGCCGTGGCGGCCGCCGCTCGCGCTGTGACGTTAGCAGTCTTCACGGCTATTTATATCCACCCGATTGGATTTCATTCATGAAACCAGGGCCTGGTGTGTCTGTGCGCCGGGGCGCTGGTTGCAAAGGTGCCTCAGCTTTACGCAGACCCGGGGTGCCGGGCTCGGAGGCGGATTGCCCAGCACAAATATGCGCAAGGCACGGGAGAGCCCGGCGGATCTCCCTAGCGGCCGGGAGGGGAGGGTCAGGGCGATCTGTGACCCGGTCCTCTATCCCCAACAACCCACCCATTCCTGTGCAACTGCTGGCCCTTTGTCCCAGGCTCTGCATAAGTAAGTTGGGCCACTAACCGGCTGGGCAGCATGGCTTTCTTCCCCCTAGGAGCTGACCGGCCGCGGACTCCGAGGGAGGACATTGGCTTTTGTTTCAAAACCGAGCCCAGCTGCTGACTAAGGGCTGCGTTAGCCCAGCCTCCTCCCCAGTGCGGCTGCACGTGCTGTCGGGCTCCCCCCTCTGGGTTCCCTTCCTCTGTGACTTGGCTCCTGGGGTCCCTGCACGGGGCGTAAGGACGCACCGCTGCCCCCGACCCAGATAAGGAGGTGATTTACAATCTCCTACAAATGGCTGAGTGAGGAAGTGAAATTGACTTCTGGGCACTCATGGATTGACAGAATTCTTGGAAGACCAAGACGGTCCATCCCTCCTCATGAACTCGTCTCACTGTTCAGGCTGACCCTGAGCGCCTAGGACAAGACCTGGGGTGGTTTTCATGCAGTCACATAAATACTTATTGAGTGCCTACAGGATGTCAAGCCCTAAGAAGATGACAATGAACACAACCAACCTGGTCCCAGCCCTCAAGGAGCTTCCCGTCAGCCTGCTCAAATTGGTGTGCCTTAAACCTCCTCACTCCTAGCCTATAAACAGGCAACTGGGGGATAAAGGTGTTGATGTGTTCAGCTACCATAAGGGATTTATTCATTTAATAAACCTTTATTGAGGAGGCTGTGTACCAAGGGCTGGGGGTACAAAGAGGGCAACAATGTGTCCTTAGTCCTCAAGGAGTTCTCAGGTAACTGTGTTCCTGAGGTTTTGAAGGGCTGGGAAAAAGGGAGCCATATTTTATTGCAAGGGCCATTTCTTTGTGTTATCCCCTGAGAAACAGAACATTAGAAAAAATTATAAGTGCAAACAAACCCCTTTGTGCCTCAGTTTCTTCCAGGAAACCATCTTCAGTTTCCCAGATGGAATACTTCCTCTTCCTTCCCAGGATCCCCAGATGAGTTTTAGTCCATTGGGTATTCCTGCTCTTCCCCACTAGTTTATATTCCCTTCGGAGAGAAAGGCTTGCCTGGTGCTCTCAGAATGCCCCCGGAGACCCCAGAATATAGTGAAATTCAATGTTTTTACAAGGAAAGGTATTAAGGACGATGTCCTTTGTTTAAGTTTTTGAACTTAACTGAACTGTCTTTGGAAATGGAGTTATCAGTCCCTAATCTTGGATACCTGGAACAGGAGATAGCGAAAAGTCAAGTGCAGGGGTCTGCTCTAAGAACTTCAAGACAGATACAGGAGGGAGTGATTAATTTACTTGGCACAAAACTGACTTCCCTCAGTCTATTTAAAAGTGACTCCATTTTGAAAGGTTTAATCAATATACATTCTTTTCAGGAACACATTTCTTGGGAAAAGTTAATTAACCCTGCTCACTCCTAGCAATCAGTCCTCTTTATTGCAAGCCCTTCCTCTTCAAACTGCTCTGGGGGCTAAGACAGAGGGTAGAAACTCAAAAGAAATGGGAGTCAACATGTACTGCAGCCTTTACATGTGGGAGGCAATGGGCTGGGAGGTTTAAAACACATTTTCTCAATTAGTCCTAAGAACAACTGATGAGGTAGATGCTATTATTATCATGACCACTTCACAGATGAGGAAACTGAGGCATGCAGAAGTAAGTAGTTTTCTGAGGTTTTGACAGTTGCATTTGCACCTGGGTCAGCCTGTGCCGAGACCTTATTTTATCATGAAGCTGCTTTTTGACATCCTGTCTTTCCTCAGTTTCTTTCATTTTTTCAGTTATAAATTAAGAAGAGTTAGGTGGCATGCTTAAGCAGCAGGCAGGCACTAGGACCAGAAAGATACCTATACAAAGACCCCAGTTGGCAGGCTACCATTCAGATATTGCCTTCCATCCCCAAGGGGCACTGAGGCTCAGATAGGCCTTCCAAAAGATTCTTCTTCTATAGGGGGTAAAGAACAAACAGCCATCATGGAATTACCCAGTTGGCTGCCTAAATGACCAGAAGAACTTTCAGCAAAATTGATGTAAAGGGTAATTCAGATACGGCAGAGGAAAAGTCACTGTTCTGGGAAGTCCTTCCAAACAATGGGAGTGAACTGTGGAAGAGGTTGCCACAATGGTGCTATATAGCCCCAAAATTTTACATGTGAAACCCCCAATTCTGGAAAAGTTGGAGAAAATGCAGCAAGGAGTACAGACTATATTTGGCAACAGGGAAGGAGAGAAAAGGAACAATAGCAAATAATCCCTGAATCACTGCCATGAACTATCCCTGTCCTTGTTATTACCACAGAATAATCCACATTTATATACTACAATTGATGCTTGCAAATAAAATGAATACTACTCGCTTTTAATAAATATAAAAATTGGTACTTAAGCTTAAATAAACCAAGACTATTTATTTAAACACTTTCAGGATTGTACTGCACAAAAGTGGTATAAAAACTTTCGACTAGCTTTTATGGTAAATATTTAACCAAAGTCATAGGATTCAAAAAAATTCCCACAATCAAGATACAGAACTGTTCTATTATCACAAAAGAACTCCCTCACACTACCTCTTTTTATTTGTGTCCACCCACCAACCATTAAGCTGTTCTCCATCTCTAGAGTTTTGTCATTCTGAGACATATTAATGGGAACATAGAGTACGTAACGTTTTGAGATTGAGTTTTTTATTTTTGACTAAGCTTAATGCCCTTGAGGTTCACCCAGGGTGCTGCATGTATCAATAGTTCATTCCTTTTTATTGCTGAGCAAATTTCTATTGTATGGATATACCAGTTTGTTCACCAATTTACCCACTCAAGGACATTTGAGTAGTTTCTAGTATTTTGCTATTATGAATAACACCGCTGTAAACATTTGCATATAGGTATTTGTGTGAACATAAGTTTTTATTTCTTTGGGATGGATGCCCAAGAATGTGATTGCTGGGTCATATGCTAAGAAACTCTCCAACTATGTTCCACAGTGGCTGTATCATTTTACATTCCCTCAGTAATGTATGAGAGATCTAGTTTCTCCACATTCTCACTAGCATTTGGTATTACCGTAATTTTTTAAAAAATTTCAGTTGTTCACTAGTTTTGTACGTACAACTCATTGTGGTTTTAATTAACATTTCTATAATGCCTGATGAAGTTGGCACATCTTTTCATGTGCCATCCATATCTCTTTGCTGAAATATCTGTTCATGTCCTTGGCCTATCTTATATCTTATAATCAGATTGTTTGCTTTTTTTACTATTGAGTTTTGCGAGTGTTTTCAAAAATATATTCTGGGATCACAGAATGTTCAAACAGCAAATTAAGTACTACTTCGAGATAACTCTATTTTCAATCCAGTCACTATTGTTCAGCATTTCTATTGCCATCAGTTTTAGAGAGAATATTCTCAGGTACTTAGATAAAGTATTCTCAAATACTTACAGAGAACTGCTATAGAGAGGGTCTTTTCAGGATTATTTTATAAACCTGAATTTCAGCGGTCGGTAACGGACACCCAGCGCCAGACCTGCACGTGTCTGTGGCCCAAGGAGCCAAAGCCAGGCCTCTGCGCAGGCGCAGATGCTTCATCCAGCGGCCGCGCGCCTGCGCCGCAGCTACCCCTGTGAAAGACCCCTGAGGAGGAGGATAGCGTCGCGCTCTCTCTTCCTCCTTGGATCCAAATTGGATGCTGTCGTTGGCTATTTAGAGGATATTATCCTGGATGGCGAGTTCCAGGTGTTACAGAGAAATTTCATGGACAAGTACCAGGATTTAAAGACATGGACGAGAATAAGCTCACCCATGCGCTAATTTTTAAGAACAGATGTGTTTGGTAGAAAGATATTGAAAAACAGGTGTTGGAGCGGATTCCTGGAGTTAACATGACGGCTTTCATAACAGCCGACAACTTTGAGGTACTCTAAAGATGAAGTGGCTGGTGACACAGTCGACAAGCTGGCTCACGTTTTTGGGTTTTCTGGCTTTTAAAGAAACGCTTTTTTTTTTTTTTTGGTGTCTTATGATATTTTATTTTATTTTTTTAATTTTTTGTTTATTGCAGTAACATTGGTTTATAACATTGTATAAATTTCAGGTGTACATCATTATACTTCTATTTCTGCATAGATTACATCATGTTCACCACCCAAATACTAATTACAACCCATCACCACACACATGTGCCTAATTATCCCTTTTGCCCTCCTCCCTCCCTCCTTCCCCTCTGGTAACCACCAATCCAATCTCTGTCTCTATGTGTTTGTTTATTGTTGTTGTTATCTACTACTTAATGAAGGAAATCATACGGTATTTGACCTTCTCCCTCTGATAAAGAAACGCTTCTGACTACAGAACAGAATAAGGCCTGTGGGCGCAGGATTCAAGCAGTGGTTTGGTGGCAACTTCATTGTGCAAATCATCTGGGGCTCTAGCTCCCACCGCCAGGCGCTGGGGTCTGTTTGGACAGCGCGTGCCCAGAAAGCTGGGTGTGGCCCAGCTAATGATGACAGAAAGGTAAGACTGACCCTGTTGTGGGACTCCTCGTTAATGCTAAGTATTGAAGGATCAAAAAGAAAATGACCTGACCCTCCACTTTCTTGTATTCAGGAATTCTAGTACTTCTGCCAGAGTAGATGCTTCTCCCAAATGTCAGACTACCCCGGGGCCCGATGATGTCCAGCATT